TTTTATTTCCAACATGCGCTCATTCATGGCTATATTATTTAACTCGTGCAAAGTTACGTCTTTATTGGGAGAGGACTTGACGGATTATTTTAGCCTACGTGACTCCGACTTCATGAGACGATGAGCATATAGACAACAGAGAGCGAATTAAATTCAGCACTTTTCTTTCTAACATGCGTCCATTCATGGCTGCATATTATTTAATTCACACAAAGTTACGTCTTTATTGGGACAGGACTTGACGGATTATTTTACGTGACTCCGTGAGTTAATCTCTATTTCTTTGAGCCAAGCTGCATAAACTGCATATCAGGCATTTATGTAATACATCTAATTTGTGCATTAATGGCTGTTATGTTAAATAAAGTTTACTAACGACAGTAAATAAAGTACCTGTGCACGCCGTTGTTGTTGCCTTGTTTCCCCTCAGACGCACTGCAATGTTGATCCTGTGAGCAATTCTCAAAACATCCATAAGATGGCGGCGTTTATCGGTGAATCCGACATGACAAAACCGATATCCGATTATTTTAAAATGCTTAAATATCGGGAAAAATATCGGTAAATCGATATATCGGTCGATCTCTAGTTATGATGTTCTTTGCTCGTTTTCTGTAGCTGCTATTTGAATAACTGAGGATATGTATGCCTTATGATTAGTAACTTACAATGTTTCTATTAAATTTTTATGTTAAATACAAATTCAGTTTTAGCCTTACGCTTAAGGTGGTTCACTCTCCAGGAATGAAACTAAGCAAATAAATAATTAAATAAATTAGCACGATAATATCGTGTATCGGCAATTTCAGAGGTTGACGAGAGGACGATAATAAAATCGAACATATCACCCAACACCAATTCGTAGAACATTTTTTGAATTTTTTAGCTGAATTTCCACAAAGTTAAATTCAGATTTTAAGTAAGCATTTTTACTGACGTCTTGCTGGAGCTGGACTGGAGATAATTTTCTCTGCTCGTTGGTAGAGACTAAAAAGAATCGTTTTGGGAACATGCAGACCGGGTAAACATTTTTCAGAGAGAAAAAAAAAACTCATTAGAAAGCTTCCAAACAATACAAAAAGCATCTATCAATGGGGCTGTGAGCTCAAGCTCATGCTGTACAAGGACGCATCTCCAAACAGCCACGTTTGCTTTAAATCTGACCCACACAACCATGCACTTGCAGGTACGAGTTACGCATGCAGGTGAATTGTTAAAGCACGCGAGTTCTTTAATTTCGCTCCTCCCCCTCTGTTAGTTTTTCCTCCGCATGCAGTGTGAGGGTGTCTCTCCTACTCTACCTAATCTTGCCCAGCTGATTCTTGGCTCTGGACAGAGGCTGAAGTGCGATGAAGTCATCACCTATAGCCACACGGTTGGTGTACATCTACAGAACACACAGAGGGTCAAGTAAAAAGGAGGAAAAGTCACATGAGCAGTTATACACACTGTACACCACATCCCACTCACCACACACATTCAGAAATGACAGAGACAGGAAACAGGAAACAAGCAGCAGATGCAGAGAGAAAGCACTTCGAATCTATCGGGTGTCATCCGCAGGGCAACGTGTGCTGACGCCACAGAACCGTACTGCAGCAACTTCAGTTACTGCCTCACTTAGGCATGTAGAAATAAAGGGGAATATAAGGATTAAATGTGTACGAAATGAAGAAAATAAGCGATAAAAGCTGAGTGTTAGATGCGAGTAAAGATTTTGAAAGAGTTGACAGCCTCGTGTTCGAATCCCAGCTCATCATTCTCTCCTTCTCCCACTTTTTTGTCACACCTTCAACTATCCTATCCAAATAAAGGCACAAACGTACAAAAATAAACCCTAAAAAATTTGATAAGACAGTAAAAATGTGATATTTGGCTTAATATATCGGCTTAATTCGTATAGTCTTATCGTCTTAATTTAGGCTCATCTCTCTCAGTTGGTACAAAACCAGATATTTCTTACTGTATAATTTTTTTTATCAACAATGCTTAGCAGTTCTCTCTTTTTATTTGCAGAAAAAAAAAAGGTTTTGGCATACAATCGCCAGTGGTACTCAGTCCTATGCAAGACTGTAACATAACAGTAACCAGAAACTATCAACCACCCACACCCCAAATTATTAACCTATAGCCATAGTCTCTTTACAAAAGTGAAAACTGGTACCGTTTTTAGTTTTAGTGTTTGTCATTGACTGATATACATCAAGCGCAATCGAAGAACAAAAACGGGTGTAGCATATTTTCTAACAAAGGGTACGTTTACATGACTACAATGTACTAAAAACGGAAGTTTTTCCTTTGAACTTTCGAAAAGTTTTGCGTACAGACGACAATATTGTCAAAACCCCCGTTTCACATGGATCTGCGAAAACAACAAAAAATCCTGTATTATTCATGCCAGGCCAGTAGATGGCGATGTCACTTTGTAAATAAACCTTCACACCTGCTCACATACCTATAGACTGACAATGATATGTCAACATTTTCACAAAATTCATGTTTTGTTTTTGTTTTGTTTTTGTTTACACAGAGAGGCTAACGAATTCTTTTTCAAAAAACGTGCACTTTTAAAACCTGTTTTCAAAAGTTTGCGCTCTCTAAATAGGGGCTTTCGCACCATTTAGTTCTAGGAGCTAGCCAGCAGGGTCGTTCCTTGAGAACCAATTTCTCCCTCGGGCCGTTTTCCTGGTTGCATTCGCACCGGCAGCAGGAACTCTGAAGCGGCCGACAGTCATGTCTTTATTCACGGCATTTACAAACATCAGCAACCGGTGAATGGAGAGCGCCGTGTTCGGAGCCGTTTTTGTTGTGTGTCGTAGGTTTCGTGATAACAGACATGGAATGTAAACACACAATTTACGCGATTAAAAGAGCATTAACATGTGACTAATGACAACTTGCAGGGTTACGTCATCAAGGCTGAGAAAAGAACAACACTGCAGACAACAGGTAAATGCCATTATCGCTGTTTTCCATGTTTGTGGAGTAAATCAGTCCGAGCAGCTGAGTCCTTAGCCATCTTCAAGAATCGGCTAAAAACACATCTCTTCCATCTTTATTTGACCCTCTAACTCTAGCACTCTCTATTCTAATTCTAGTCTTTATAAAAAAAAAAAACGTGCCGCTTTTGTTGCTTGGAATTTACTAACTGCTTGTTTTTCTTTAAAAAACAAACACTTGCTTCTCTAATCTTTTTGCATTCCATCCATTTCTTTTCTTTTAATTTATCATACAATTATAATTCTGACTTTGACTTCTTCTGATTAACAAAAGCAAAAAAGGCCTCTAACACTAGCTTGCTCTATTCTTTTTCTATTCTATCCATTTTATTTTTATTTATATGATTTAAAAAAAAATTAAAAAAAAATCTTGATACGTGTACTGCATTAAGCTAACTGAGACTTGTTATAGCACTTGCGTATCATTGCTCTTTTGTTGATTTTGATTGCTTTCATTGTCCTCATTCGTAAGTCGCTTTGGATAAAATGTCTGAATGTAAAAGTAAATATTTTTACAGGGCTTTTTAAAAATGCTGGTAGCCAGTGTTTTTCGTATGCATTTGGTCAATCCGCGTACACTTACGTCACTGGTAGTTCCTTATAGAACTGTTTTAGACCCTACTCTGAAGTAGGAGCTAATTTAGTTCCCCCAAGTGGACTTCCTAGAACTAAATACATTCCTAGTTCCTGCGGTGCGAACACATCAAAAAGTGGGAACTTCCGCCAATAGTTCTAGGAACTATGGAAAGGTTCCTCTGGTGCAAAAGCCCTAATTAACAGCCAAACCGCAAAAGTTCGAAGCGGTGTCAGATAAACGCCCCTAAAAACCTGGCCAAAACAAAGGTGTTTGAGTTTGTTTTGTTGGTTCGAAAAAAAACGTTTCTAGAAAATGTGTGTTGACTTTTAAACACCATCAAGCCACTATTGGTTCATAGCATAATAGGTGGGTGTGCTTTACGGCTCTGCCCTCTTTGACATGAAAATCTTTTAAGGTTAATTTCTTTCAGACTGTCGAGGTTAGACACGAGTAAAACCATGAATGTACTTAGAGTGTCGAATTGTAGAGCTGGCGCAAACATATCGACATCGAGATGTTCACAAACCATCCAAAAGCTATTTCAAACTTTCATTTATCCCAGAGTGAAAAACTTCACTAAAAGTGTACCAGGGCCTTTATAGTGGCACCAAACTAATTAAATAGACTGGAACTCTCGTAGGTTACAAACAATTGTTTTAATTAACTATGTGAATCTTTAACTTTTTAAATAAAGGTGCTCTATTGAAGAATTAGAGAATCATGAAATATCAGTGGAATTGGTGTAGACTACTGAAAAGTTATTATGATTATGATGTTATGAAGAAATTATGATGTCACTTAAATGGGGAACTTTTAACACCCTGCCAGTCAGGACTATTTTCAAAATGTTCACACAAATAAACCATTAAGATAAGCAAGCCATCATGAAGCTACAACCTGCCATTATCTATTCTCATAATTCAACCAGACAAGATGCACTGCATTTCCAGATGTAATAAGTGTCCGCTGCAGTAGATTTTTAATATTGCGATGAATGCTGGTGCTGTAGTGATGATACCTCTGAGTGAGTTGCTGGTGAGACGTGAGCCACATGCTGTATTACTTCATCAGTGTCATCTTTGAAAGCATAAATCCAGCACAACTCCACACGTGACACACAAACTCTCACTCCATCTCAATCAGAGCTCGAGCGTTTGTGGTGGACGCTCACCTGAGATTTCTGCGTGCTGGTCGGCTGCAGGTGCCTGTAGAAGACCTTCTTGATGACGTCTGGAAACAGGCAGGTGAGGATGATGATGATGATGGCAAACCAGGCCGAGCCGCTGGACAGCAGCTGAACAAAGACGAAGTACATGTCCTGCGTGTGAAGAAATGGCCTAATGGAGGGGAAAACTTCAATTAGACTGCAATTAGTTGCTAATGCTGTCAAATATCTAACTAATGAGGAACTGTTTCAGAGCCAGAGCCAAATATTGAGCACAGCATCTTGACTGCATTCAAGAGGACGTCACTACTGGACATGCGAGACCAGAAAGAGCAAACTGTTATCACCAGCAAATCAACAATTCAATGCAAACTATTTAGAAAGGAAAATAACCAAATTTAGGTATTGTTCGTGACTTTCACTTTCTCACACAGGATGGAGAAAAACATGCATTTTTACAATTTATCACACTCATTTTAAGCAGTGACTTGTGTCATTCTTGATTACTGGACAAGGATTTGAAGAAAAAATAAAACCCCTTACTACCAGCAGATGTAAGATTTTAGAGTATGACTACAAAAATTTAAAAATCTCATGCATTAATGGCATGATTTTTTAAATGGCGTTACACATAGTTCAACTTAAAAAAAAAACTGCATCTCAAGACCTTGCGCTCTTTTTCCATGGTACAGTGCTGCGTCTCATGTTTTTAAAATTAAATCAATTTAAAAAAATTGAATTTAATCAATTTCCAAAATAAATTACATCTAAAATGAATACATAAAATGCAAAAAAAATTCATAAAGAAGAATATTGAGGGGATATGTGTAGTGCACACTACCACTTATACATTTTAGTTTTATTTATTTGCAAATTCATTTGAAGGAAATATTGCAAAGATGTCACCATTATTTTTATTAAATTGACTATTATATATTTGATAAAAAATTATAATTTACTCATCCAAGTATATACATTTTGAAAACTCACAAATATTATCTAAGGCTGTAACCGCATATTAAGGATATGAAAGTGCCATTGAAAAACTAATATTTTTTTGACCACTAATCTGAATAATGCGAAAAACACATTCCTCTAAAACAGACCCATAATGCCTATGGAAAGCATGATTTCTTTAAAGTTCAGTCAAAGTTCAAATGTAATTTCACATGCAATACAGTACCAGATGATGCCGCCATAAAACAAGGAGAAGATGAAGTAGAAGGCGATGGAGCCCCATGTGACAAAGTGATTCATCCACGTCCAGAAATGTGTCTCTATGGCCAGCTGTGGAGACAACAGTGCAAATGAAGCTCACGTGTTATTTAAAAAGCACGCGTTGCATTTAAGTACGCACTCACCTTCAGCGTAACCGTAATAACCATCACAGTGAATACTAAAGTGCCAAACGTCCAGTTTCCAAACATCTGCAAGAAAGAAACATGACCGTATGAAAAGATTTCAAACTAGCCCATCAGTCTGTTCACATGTCGTATGGGGTGAACTAAATATCTAGAGGCTTTCAATTCATCCAAAATAAACGACGCCAGCCACTTTATATCAGACAGCGATTCCGGCTTGTCGAAAGCCATCCGCTGTCATGCAAAGTGTGAGTGAGGGAGCATGTTCAAATCTTGTTGTAACTCAGCCCCGCAATTGAGGATGGCAGAGTATCAAAAGAATCGAGATCAGAGCCGCTAAACCAAACCAAGGAGACAGCTGCTCATTAGAAAAGACACATGCATCAACTGGAATCCAGTCAACTCTTACCAGTTGCCTGTTAGCTCGCAAAATCTGAGAGCATGCACAGCAGGAAAGAGAAAGAGAGAAGCAGAAAAAGTGAGAGAATATGGATAAGTAGTAAAAGCCAACAGTAAGGTAAGATAACGATGTTATTAGTTGGAGGATTGATGCTTCGTGTCTGTAAGCTGGAGTTAATCAATAGTCACTAAGGCTAAGTAACGGTTATTAACGTCTAAGTGCATTCATTACCTTAAGCGCTTCTAGCTAAAGAATTCAGATAGCATCTCTGAGATCTATACATAATGCTGTGTGGAGGATATCAAAGACAACTGTCATGCCACAGACACACAGAAGAGCGAGGTGAAGCCGAGAGCTCTCTCTGGCGCTGACCTGTCCATTTCCCATCAGCGTGGTGTCTTCTCCCATCAGGATGTAGGAGCCGAAGAAGAAGACGAAGGCGTGGCAGAAGCCCAGGAAGGTCCAGTACAAAAAGGTTTTGAAGGACAGCAGGGAATTTTTACTGATGTCTCTGAAGAAGGGAAAGAATATTACTTCATTTCGATTTGGGAGGGGGAATGAAAACAACAAAACAGACTCAAATTCCCATTACAGCTAATATTAAATTAAGGTTTCAATTGGAAATAGAGAAAATGTGCAGGTACATTTTTAATTTTTGCAATACTTAAACTTTAATGTAATCTGAGTTGAAATTAATTGAAATTAAGCTTAAAAAAGAGAAATGTTGAAATGTAAAAAATGAAGTGCTAAACAGTGCTATTTTAGTATGATTGAGAAACTATTATAGTTTTTTGTTAATATTTAGTATTACATATATATTTTGTTATTTTCTGTTTATATTTTCATTTTAATTTTGTTGTGTATTTTTGACATTTTTATTAGTTTGCTTTTAAACATGCCTACATAGCTTATAATTTAGTTTGAGTTATTTACTACTTCAAAAAACTAAATGAAAATAAATGTTGACTTGGCAAATAGCTGGGGGAAAAAAGTTAGATATATATATATAATGAATTTAAAAGAAATAGAATTAGTTTTTTTAAAAGAACAACTAATAATAATAGTGACATGATGACATATTGACTTTATTTAAAAGATAATTTCCTCAAAAGACAAACACCTGTAAAGTGCTGGTTTGCTCTGCAGAACATGTGGATGCACCAGCTGCTCAAACAGACTGTATACCAGTATGGGCAGAGAGGTGAAGCAGATATTATACAGCGTCAGATACACGCTGTCATAAAGAGTCTGCGAAGCACAAGACAGCATGTTAAGCTCCCACGCTAAAATCAAACAGGGTTTTGAGAAATCACACATTGATCACACACACACAGTCAAAGGTCAAACTGAAATCTCCAGACTTAACCAACTTTTGCTGGTTTCTAAAAACACACAACAGCAAATATCTAACGACTGGAAAACCTCAGTATATAGTCCGAGCCAAAAATGATGTGTATTATAATGACAATAATTCTATTGGTCAACTCTTGACCAACTTGAACCTGTTCCAAAACTTTTTTCACTCTCACATGAAATTCGCAACACCATGGATTCCTAATGAAGTAACTGGATTTCAAAATTTGATGAACAACAGAAGTCCGTAGGTGGTCACTACTCTATGGTTTTCTGGTCTCTAGATATGGATTAGGTCCTTTCTCGAATGCCACCAATTGGTCATTTTGAATCAGATTGCTTAAATATTTTCTGTAGCTTGAACAGTACAGCATGGCACAAGCAACACCAATGTCAAGGGTTTTATTCCAATCCTAACAATAGCTATGTTTCCATCATCCTGTTTTAATACGCATTTTGAAGTATCGCATGAGAAACGCCAAATTTCGAAAAGAAATCCCTTAATTCGCAAAAAAAGTTTTTACGCTCGCTTGAGGTGGTTTTTGACTTAAGGGTTAATGCGAATAATGGAAGATGGAAACGCATTTCGCGAATAAATCCCGCATGAGCGTTCAAAAAAGTCATGTGACTTTGCGCTATGGGACAGCATAACCTGACTAACCAGCGGACCGATTTAGTTGCACAGCATCTCAAATGTTGTCATGGTCATTCTGAAGTGCCCGAGCAAAGTATGTCGTCAAAGTATTTCTACTGCCTCCCAGAACGGTTTACCACGACTGCGTTCCCAAACAGCTGACATTCAGCTCCGAAAGCAAGACCGCATTTATTGCGCTTCGTCTGCTCACTCAAAGCGCAAGTAATTTATTATATTTGAGAATTATTATATTCAGTGGCTTCTCTTACTTTTCTTAGTGATATTTAGTGGCAGTTTATCAGGAAGTGACGATTTTGTTCTCTCTGACTCGTTGGATGGAAACAGTGCTTGTTCGCAAATGTTTTATGCGATATACCAATTTTGCGCATAAGTTAAATTCGCAACTTTGGATGGAAACCCAGCTGTTGAAAAAAAAAAAGTAGCTTAAATGCACTGCAAGTAGCTTTGGAAAAAAAGCATCAGCTAAATACATAAGTGTAAATGTAAAATAACTAAATACTAAGGCTTTAGAGTTTAAATCACTAACCCTACATATTAGCAGTAGTAATAGTGACTTAGTAAAGGTGAGGTCACATTTACCATTATTTTGCGAAATTTTCCAGGTGAAATCCAGTCATTTCAATGGGAATCCTTGAGAAATGGTATTTCAAGCGAAGGTGAAAGATTTCACAACGGGTTAAAGTTGGTCACACAGATTCGCCGTGTTAACCAACAGAAAATTACATAAAATGATGACTGGGAGAGACACTTACTTGCTGTGAGAACAAACAGAAGAACTGGTATAAAAACTGGGGAGTGATAAAGCACACATTCTACAAGAAAACAAAACAGAGTTTTATAAAAACGCAAATCTTCAACCGGAAAGCCACACAAAAAGCTCCCAACGTACCTTGTAGAAAAAGTACTGCACAAGGGTTGCTATTCTAATGTAGTAGAAATGGCCGTGTACAAGCAGCAATTTGGCGAGGAACTTGAACCTCGCGATTGCATAGTCGCTGTTCCTCACGGCTTGTCTTCCCTCTTTGCCCATGATTCCTGTACAGAGGTTCATTCGGTTAGCTTGATCGCAATACATTTGACTCGTAAGCCACACCTTTGAGTCCACCTACCAATACCAATGTGAGCCTCCTGGATCATACTGACATCGTTGGCTCCGTCTCCAATGGCTAATGTAATAGGCTTCTCAGGAGAAGTCTTTAACAGTCTCACCACCTGCAAAACACACACCAGCGCTATGAAAACAACAGGCTAGTGTGGGGCAACTGAGCAGAGACTGGACATATTAGTGTGCGTAACCTCAGACCTTGTGGAGACAGAGTGAAACCTGAAAACAAGGAGGGTAAGGTGACCCACCTTGGCTTTTTGGAGAGGTGCCATTCTGCAGCAGAGCACCGCCGAGCAGTTCTTACACACCTCCATGAAGAGTTTCTCATGCTCCCGCAGAGCCAGAGACAGACTGGCCCCATCCACCACCAGCCCGTGCTGGATCACATGATCCTCCTTGATCCTGCACAAACCCATCTCAAACAATTAGTCCTACAATTAGTTTCCCTTTCAGATACAAAGTTTATGGGAGGAGAGTATTAAAATTAATCACGCAACACGATTTACTAAAGTTTACGGTCCTCAAATTACTGGTATTTGCACAAGTATTTAATGCCCCCAAAAAAGCATGTCTTAAAGGGGTCATGACATGAGAAATCTAAATTGCCTTGATCTTTTGGCATGTAAGAGGTCTTTGTTCCATTAAAATGTCCTGCAAGTTTCATAGCTTAAGACATCCTCCTCATTATAAACAAAGCATTTATTTAATCAAGCTCCAAAAACGACTCGTTTTGGATTCAATGCGGCAAGGTGGCGTCACCTAGGCCCAGTCGTTTGCATAAACAACGCCTTCAGAGCAACACATTGACATAGGCTCCACCCACTGGCGTTAAGCCGCTAACGGCTTGTTCACGCTTGATCAATGCGAGTGTCACATCAGAAATGACAATCACTGCCGCAATCTTGTCTACACTGGATACAGAATAGAGAAGCGCGTTCACTTTCTGACACAGTCCACACGCTCGAGTCTGTCGTCAATCGGACAAATGGACTGAAAGATTGTTCGCTTTGACACGTTTGGTTTAAACGGCTCGTTTACATCTTTGTACAGATATCAGAAAGATCTCAGCGTAAGGAACAAGTGGCTTGTTTATATTTAATGGCACCCCGGATCGTGTCTGAGGATTGATCGGAGCATGTTGTTTTGTAAACGAGGCACAGTGTCATGGAGAGTTCACGAAGAAACATTTGTTGAAAGATGAAGCGGTACTAGATCTGACTGCAGCTGCATCACAAACCGTAAGTAAAGGATTTCATAATGCTTTGTCTGGAAATGACCTTGATCATGTTGTCAAAACACTCAAAACATGCAATAGCGAGGGGGCGCTGACACTGTTTCCTATGCAGTGACGTTAGCTAATCATAACAGTGGCCGATTACTGACAAGCCTTAAAAGACCCGCTCCTTGAAACCAGGTCGTTTTAGAGAGAGGTTCAGAATGAGGGTTGAAAATAATCCTTTTTACATATTTGAGCAAAAAAACTTCATTAACATAATAAGTAAACCTCAAAGAACATATTAAATTAATAAAAAAAAAAAAATCCATTTCATGACCCCTTTAAACTATTTTGCGCTTGAAATGGCTGCATTTGTTGTTGCTAGGAGGAAGCACCGCAGAGAACATAGAGAGCGTGGTAGAAGAGAGAGGATTTTTTCTACATGTATTTGCCCTGTTTAGTAAATCTGGCCCTTAGTCCTATATTCCCATTCAACACAGAAAGTGAAAATCGCTTGACACTCAGCATGAAAGAGAGTCTAAAAAGGGCTGGAGATCTCTAAGGAAGTGTGCACTGGTGTGTTTTACCTCCGGTCCAGTCTGCGGAGCTGCTCGGCGCACTCGTTGTCTGATTTCTGCTGCACGAGCTCCAGGATGTTCATGGTGCGGTGGAAGTGACCGCAGGAGAGGCTCACGCTAACCGCCGTCTCATGCTTGTCACCGGTCAACACCCACACCTTGATTCCAGCCAGTCGCAGAGCTTCAATCGTCTCCTGGACCTTGTCCTGCAGCCTAGACACGAACACACACAGCGGGTCAGAGCATCTGGATTTCACAGGCCACAAAATACAACATATATACATATATATATATATATATACAGGTGCATCTCAATAAATTAGAATGTCATGGAAAAGTTCATTAATTTCAGTAATTCAACTCAAATTGTGAAACTCGTGTATTAAATAAATGCAATGCACACAGACTGAAGTAGTTTAAGTCTTTGGTTCTTTTAATTGTGATGATTTTGGCTCACATTTAACAAAAACTCACCAATTCACTATCTCAACAAATTAGAATACTTCACAAAAAAAATTTTTTTAGTGAATTGTTGGCCTTCTGGAAAGTATGTTCATTTACTGTACATGTACTCAATACTTGGTAACATTCTAATTTATTGAGATGCACCTGTATATACAGTATATATATTTTATTTTTATAATTTGTTTTAATTTTTAATGTGAATTAATTTGAATTAAAGGTTTAGCAAATTTGTTGCGGTTTCTCATTTTTATATATATTTTTTTGTTTTCTTTTAAATATGTCTATATATTTTACTTTTTAGATTTTAGTTTTAGCTATATTATTAGTAGTGCAACCAAAAATAAATAAATTATATATATATATATATACATA